GTTTCAGGCATTGTGCATAGTAATGTGTGCCACAACTTTGGCTTCCACCCATTTGGTGAAGTAATCCACCGCCACCAGGAGGAACTTTTTCTGAGCAACCGCGGTGGGGAAGGGATCGAGGATGTCCATCCCCCACTGTGTGAATGGCCATGGGCTGGTGATCGGCTTCTGGGGGACTGCAGGCTGGTGATGGAGATTGGAATGTCGTTGACAACTGTCGCATTTCTAAACTAGCTAGGTTGCATCTTGCGTCATCATCGGTGAATGTGATAGATTGGCCACTTCTTCTTGTGCCCCCTGGTTGTCGATCTCGCATAGTCGCGCATACTTCTTGCGCCCCGAGCTACTCTCCCCTCCTGTGGAAATTCCACCTAATATGATGTGGATCACACAAGCAGGGTGTTCGGGGCGGTGGTCGAGCATCCTCCATGCATTGTTCCTCCTGTGCCAGCTTCTCGCTCTTTTCGATGAACTTGTCAAGGTATTCGTGCCTGATTAGGTCTTCAATGTGGTTGTGCATGTCAAAGCAGCTCTCCGTGTCGGGACCATGATCTCTATGGAACTTGCAATACCTGTTGTGGTTCCTTTTGTTGCTTTGCGTTTTCATCTTCTCAGGCCAACGAACGTAATTGCGGTCGCGGATTTGCATTAGGACTTCAGATTACAGCATATTGAGCGGCGTGATGTTCTGATAGGTCGGCGGGGGTGTCTATGGTCTATGGTCTACTTGGCGGTCTCGCCTCTTATGGTCCCGGTCTGATCTTTCTGACTTCCGCTCCTCAATATCTCTCCTCTTCTTGTTGGGCTTCTCTTCCTCGTCTCGCAGCTATGTTTGCACTTCTTCTACGTTGATATACTTCTGCACATGGCTCATCAGCGCAGCCAGGGTTTGCGGAGGGTTCTTGGAGATGGAGAAGTTGAATGGGGATGAGCGGAGGCCGTGTTGAATAGTGGTGACAGCCACAAACTGGTTCAGGTTCCTTACCTATAGCGCCTCCTTGTTGAATCTCGCTAGGTAGTCCCTAAGGGACACGTTTTTCCTCTGTCGTACCTGCATGAGGCTGGCTAAGGTCTTACAATGCTTTTGACTCACTGTGAATTATGCACGGAACTGAGTTTCCAACTGCTCGCATGATGCTATTGAGTGTTGGAGGCAGAGAGGAATTCCAGGTTAGAGCTGGACCTGTGAGGGTGACCACCAGGGCTTTACACATCAGGCCCTTGGAAGATCCGTGCAACATTAACTGAGCCTTCAGTGCCTTGATGTGGTCGGCAGAATCAGTGTTTCTGTCGTACTTATCAAGTTGAGGTGCCCGCCATCCTGTGGGAAGTACCTCGTCCACAATCTCCTGGGTGAAGGGAGGTTCCTTGGCAGTGGGTACAGTTGGTTGCATGGGCGGATCTACTACCAGCATCGTGCTTCTCGTTATCACTATGGTCTGGGACTGCGGTGTGCATTGCCCTTTCCTTCTTGGGGTGCGCGGTGTGGTCTTTCACGGAGCTGGACTCGGCAACGAAGATCATGTGAGGTAGCGTTCATTTACCGAGCCTTTCCTTGGCGAGGATCCATATGGTTTGGTGCATCCTACTATGAGAGCGGGCGGAGGGGGCTGACCTTCTTGTTGTGTCTTGCTTTTCTTGGTTGGACCGCGCTGCACCCTTGTCCGCTCGGTGCGCTTTGGGGTCCTCAAGGCAAGGATCATCCTTCGTATGCACCGAGGCATGAGGGGGGACGGTCTTGCTAGGCGGTGCCGCGGATCCTTATGTTCTACATCATTTTGAAGATCTTGTCGACCTTCTCTTGCATTGCTCAGAATTGCACTGAATCAACCGCGGCTAGAGGCTGTGGAATTTCTTTATGCGAAGGGCTACGATGCCAAGACTTCCGAGACGGAGATCAGCATGTTGATCGTTCGGGCTGGTTCTTGGGCATCTTGGTCGCTTTCTTCATTGCATAGTGAGGAATGAAGGATTTTCGGGAATGGCTTTTTGTGCATTTTCCACAGATGGTGTCAATCTGATGCTGCTAAATCCAAGGGGGTGCACAAACTGAGGAGAACAACCAAATAGTCTTTACTGGCAGGGCAGGGCTGAGCTGCAAAGACGAGGCCGCGCTTCAAGACCTACGATCAAGAGAGGAGATGTCAGAGGTCCGAGGAGTTATCCCCGGGTAAGTACTCTGACGCTCAAGTCAATAGACAGTGGTAGATGGTCGAGCCGAGCTATAAGATTGCTGGTCCGAGCTAAGTAGCAATATGAGTGTCAAAAGCTGGATCCCTTATATTAAGCATGGAGTACATTTTTTATCAATAAGAGAAAAGCTTTCATTAAACATGAAGATAATTACACTGAAACCCCACGGAAAGAGATCAACTCTCTCTCTCTCTAGAAGAAAAGAGAATACAAGCTACATCACGTCCCAAAAAAAGTACCCCTTCCCACAATGGGTGAATGGTCACTACCTGAAGGTGCTAAACCTAAATTGGCCGGGCCACCCAAGCACCCTTTAAAGCCCAAATCCACCAGATTACAATCAAATATTAGTTCTTAGAAGTGTGATGCACTACTTGAAGTGAAATTGAAGCATCCCAACTAAGCCATAAACCACCTGCCCAACCCATACAATCAACAACAAAATAACGATAATTTTGAAATTTATTTAAAATAGAAAAAGCTTTATCAGCCTTACAGTGAGTTTCCGAAAGAAAGAAAATATCTGGTCACACTTGATGGAGTAGTTTATTCAAGTGACGAACTGCCGACGGACAACTCCCTCCCCAGCAGTTCCAAGCTAATGTTTTCATGACTGGAGTGGTGGCACATAAGCACATTACGGCCCCGTTTGGTTTGCGGGAATAAGGGTCTGGAATCGGAATCGGAATGGGCTATTCCGATTTCAACTATTTAGTTGGACAGAATCGGAATTCCATTCCCATTTCTGCTGGAATGGCATTCCCCCCTTTGAGGCCCCTCCTTTGGGAATGAAATCTCATTCCTGTTGATTTTAATTCTCATTCTCATTCCTGTTTGAACTAAACAGACTATGAGAATGGATCATTTCGATTCCGATTCCGGAGGATTTTGATTCTGATTCGGAGTACGAACCAAACAGACCCATTGTTCACATTTGAGAGTTGGAATGATGATAATAGAGATCTTGCGCTTCTTTAAGGATCTATTTGATTCGTAGTCGGAATCAGAATCAAAATCCTCCGGAATTGGAATCGAAATGGTCTATTCCCATAATCTGTTTGGTTCAGAGAATGAGAATGGGAATTAAAATCAGCAGGAATGAGATTTCATTCCCAAGGGAGGGATAGGGAATGGCCATTCCCTCAAATAGGGGAATGTCATTCCAACAGGAATGAGAATGGGATTCCGATTCCACCCAACCAAACAGTTGGAATTGAAATAGCCCATTCCGATTCCGATTCTAAACCCCAATTCCTGCAAACCAAACGAACCCTAAATTTGGACCTGAATATGAAGAAGAGGGAAGATCCTATTGGGTAGCGTCCACTTCAAAATTACTCTTTCTTTCAAGTTTTGGGCCGGAGATGAATTAATTCCCATGGCCATATTCTCCTGCATGGCTGCATGGATGGAGACATAAATGGCTATGATGATTTAGTTTTTTTTTTTTGAGTTTTTGTTGGAAAAGGGACGAAATAAGTCTATTTTGTGCCCTAAATGTATTTGATTTGCTATTATAGATGTTTTGTGACAATTTTAAGGAACCATCTGTTTTATTTTTTTGCATTTTAGGCTCCGCTTGGAAGTAGTACAAATACAAATATGTAAATGGAGCCTTGGTGAGACTTTTTCGACGTGGCGTTTTGGATTCCTAGAAACACATCTGTGAAAGCCTGAATGGATCCCATTTAGGTTGAAATTTGATTTCTTTTGGCTTTTTATATGATTTTTGGGGTTATGAAAGTATTCTATGTTTAATGTTTTAGTGGTTAAAAAGGTATTTGGCACATTGGCATTGCATTGCTTTAATCGAAACAAATTTGTTAGGAGTTTTCATACTTAAAATATTTTGAAAAAGTATTGAGTTGATGAATGCAAAATTGTAATTTATACCTAAAACATCAAATTTGATGTTTCTCACACATGCATTTTTTTAGCTTAAATAATACTCCTATAATGATGTGGCAACTCGTATTCTCTATTGATCAACCCAAAACCCAACCCCAACATAAGGTAGGGGTGATTATTTCAGCCCGGCCCGGGCCCGGGCCCATATCAGGCCCGCAAATTTTAAGATCAGATTTGGGCTTAATACTTCAAACACGGCTCAGCCCAGTTCAGAAATTCTGGGCTTGAGCCTGGGTTTTATGTTCAAGCCCGGCCTGGGCCCAGGCCTACATCAGACCCGCAAATTTTAGGGCCGGACTTGGGCTTAATACTTCAAACCCGGTACAGACCGGCCCGGGCCCACATCAGGCCCACAAATTTTAGGGCCGGGCTTGGGATTAATACTTCAAATCTAACCCCGCCCGCATATATTTAAACTTACACATTTTGTGTATAATGTACATATATGTATACATGTTATTTTATATTATATTATATATTTTATATATAAATATTATAACATGACATTTATAATGCATATTATATGTAATATTTTATATTATATAATGTATAAAATAAATTTATATACATGTTATGTCATTTAATATATACATATGTAATGTTTTATATATGAGTGACATTGGCCGAGAATTAAGCCCGACCTGGCCCAGCCCATGATCACTCCTAACATATGGCCACTGTACCAAACGCTCCTTTAAGTTATTTCCTCTATTCACCATTAACAACACACTAATAAATCGGCGGCAATATAATATGAGGGGGCTATAATGCTTTTTTATTAAATTACTCAACTACTTTTGTCACTCAACTACTGATAGTGATAACAGCACTATATCCTAAGCTTTGGAAGGCCTATAAATCCTGAAGGCTTACTGGTTACAATCACGACCTGTGTAGATTTCCCCAATCCCCTTCAATATCAATGGAAACACACTGCCAAAACCCTCCACTATCTCTCATTACCGATCTAAAGGTAAGACGACAACGCTCCTCTAGGATCATCCCACCAGAGAAAACCGAGAGACGGTCCCTTTTCCTTTCAAACATGGATCAAGTTCTCAACTTCAATGTTGAAACTGTCCATTTTTTTCCGGCAAATCCTGATTTCCCACCGGAAACTGTGGTCGACATACTCGAAGCTGCATTTCAGAAGATACTCATGCCATATGATTTCTTGGCTGGAAGGCTGAGGTTTAATCCCCAACAACGACGCTTAGAGATCGATTGCAACTCCGCTGGGATAGGTTTTTGGGTGGCTTCCAGTGAATTATCACTGGACGAGATCGGAGACCTGGTCTACCCTAACCCAGCGTTTCGACAACTTATCATGGATAAAGTGGACAACTTGGATGCAGATGACAGCCCCCTCTGTGTCGTCCAGGTATTGAGCTGCCTAATTTCCTATATATAGTCTTTGGTGTTTGGCATCTTTTTCAGTGGGTTTTTTTGGTCTATCTAAAAGACTAAAGAATGGGTTTTTTTTTCATTTGGTATTGCATATATTGAAAGACACATAGACGGGCGCACGGAAAGCCTGTTTGTTGTGTCTTTTCGCAAGGGCTGTTGGCTTTTTAAAAGCCCAGCAGCTTGCATTTTGATCTTTTCCCCTTTGGATGGGAAAAGATCTAACAATCAAAAGCTCCAACATTGAAAATATGTGGGAAACCCATTTCGGGCTTTTTTTGAAAAGCTTCAAATTGAGCTTTTCGCTTTTTTCAACTTGTCTTTGTGCGGAAAGACGTGTCTTAATTAACCAAACGATCTTCAAGTTACTAAAATCTTAATGTAAAATCTTACATATTCTTTTAGTTGTCAGGTCTTCCAAAAGATCTTTTAAGAAGGACTTGCCTAATGGCACCGAAGTATTTGGTCTTTCCATGCTGAAAATAGCCTTCACAAAACAGTTGAATAGACCATGATGCAAACCCGAAAGTCTTTATATTTAAAGACAAGAACCCAAGAGCTCAGCACATCTTGTCTACTAGGCTGTTGAAAAATCTACCCAGAAAGACTTGCCAAACAACCTCTTTATTGGCATACAGCAGCTCCAACAGGCTACACTGTCCAATCAAGTGTGAATACATCGAGCAAGGTTTAGTTGAATGCTTTACCAGTTCAACAGACTGTGGAACCAACGATAAGGATTCACACGAGTATTAAATACTGGTGTGGAACTTCATCATTGATTCCACAACACGTTGGACAGCTAAAGCGTTTAGCTAATCTGAATTCAAATATGTCAATTGTTGGTAATCTGACGAACAATATGGTTAGGATGCTTACCCAAACTAGTAACCACTCCCACCCGCTCGCAGTGGAAAGAATTAGAAGAAATAGGAAGGCTGGTTTACACCAACTAATGGCATCTCAATTGAAACTGGATTTACTCCTCACAGAGCATGTCACACACAAATCTCACAACACATCACAACCACGATTTGAGAACATCTTCCCCTTAAACTATCACATGCTAATCAAATAAATAGCATTAATTCTATGAGGAAAGGAGGGTAGAGAATACCCCTGTGCACAACATGTGTTGTGTTAGACATTTTTAAATGCCCAAACCTAAATCCCCATGGCATGATTTGATCTCAATTCTCCACTAGAACTAGCCAAAACTAGGGGTGTCAATGGACCGGTTTTGGGTTGGAATCCGTTCAAATCAAAATCCATTTGGATAGACTGGATGGACCAATAAAACATATTGAATTTGGATAGACCAATATGACATATTGGATTGGACCTGGTCCGTTTATAATAAATTTATATTGGATTGAGCCAATATCTAGTCCATTGATAGAAGATAAGAATATAGGTGTCGAAGAACCAGATTTGAATTGAAACCAATCTAAATTAAAAGAAATTTGAACAGATTGGGCAGTCCCTAAACCAGTCCAAAATATACATTGGACTGGATTGGACCAAGTTCATTTATAATGACTCACATTAGACAGGACCGGATTGGACCAAATCCAGTCCAATTGACACCCCTAGCCAAGACCTTACCTAACTAAGCTAGCTGGCATCCTCACACCATCCTACTATTGTTACTTGTTTGGTGGCACATAATTAATGAGGAGTTATGTATGGTCAAGCAATCTTTAATGTGTCAACATGGTTGTTAGCGTAAAAGGGTTATAATATATTACGCATGAGAAGGCCTCATTTTAAAAGCCATTGGTGTGTATTTATTTGCATGTAGGACTTTTTTTCGAGTCCGGATCTCCTGCTCACGAGAATTCTGCCCATGTTTATCGTAGCTATATATGGAGAACATTTCATCCTCTGCATAGTATTATTTAGGGGGAGATATTCTCAATTCACGGGGGGTAGTGTATTGTGGGTAGGCGTGGGCAGGAGATCCGTAGTCCTCTTTTTCATCTTTCTTTAGTAAGAGCTATTTGCACAGTAAAAAAACAAATTTCCACATTTCAGAAATGCTGCTTATATTTTTTAAAAGAGTATTCTCTAACATGAATATTTTTGTTTCATCTCATATTTAGGAATTACTATACCCATGCAATTACTATTAAGGATGGTTTCTACACACACAAAAAAAAAACAATACAAAATTTATGAGCAACAAAAAAATACAATAAAGTAATTTAAAGTTATAATTACCTTTGAGCAATGGATATGAAGGGCAAGTTTGAAAAATAAATCAGTTTTGGAAAAGAGATTGGAAGGGTTTGGAATAACGATTGAGATGAAGAAAAAAATTGGAAAATAAGCATTTTGTTCAAAAATAATTGCATGGGTATTTTGGACATTTTAATGCCTCTTAATAGAGGATTATAATAAAATGGGTCTAATTGCAATTATGTCAAGAAGTTCAGGGGAGGTGATTGCAATTACCAAATTTCAGGAGAGGTTTCAAAAATGATCAGAAACTTCAGGGGAGGTTTAGCAATTTACTCTTTTCAAAAGAAAAATTGGGCTCAAAGTTCAAATAGAAAAGTTAAAAATAAAATTGAAAAAGGTGAACTAATATCTCATCAGAATATCTATTTAAATAGTATATTCTTTATGAAACATGGTATCTCACTACTAGAGAAATTCATCATGCTTTTGAATCTAGAATTAAGAAATATTTCTAATTTTAACTTTTACCTCCAGAAAGAGAGTCTGGATCTCCTGTCCATGAGAACTCTGCTCACATTTATCGCAGTTATACATGGAGAACATCTCATCCTCTGCATAGCATTATGCAGAGGGAGATGTTCCCAATTCACGGGGGGTAGTGTATTGTTGGTAGGCATGGGCAGAGTTCTCATGGGCAGGTACCAGAATAAAAAAAAGATATATATGGTACACAACCAAGAAACCGGTTTATTTGTTTTTCTTTCAACAAAGTAATGCTTTTTCAAATCATTTGTGGGACAAAATTTCCTTGAGAAAGACCCAAGAAGAATGTTAGAGAAAAAACCCTTTTAGTAAAAATAATTGAAACATTTGCGGGCTAGTTCCATCTCCCTCAACTTTTTTCTCTCTTATTTTCTATTGGAACTAAAACAGCCTAAAGAATCCAAAATACTAAAAATATATTAAACACAAATGTATTGAAGGAATGGAGAACAAACAATTGATTGATTTTGATTGAGTGAAGGAATGCTAGATAATATCAATTATCTTTCTTTAATAAGAAGAACTAAGGGCCCATTTAGGGATGCAAACGGATCGGATTTGAGCTAGAGTATATTCGAATCGGATAGGGGGTAATCCAAATCTGACCCGATTTCTGATCGGATCCTATTATCCGATCTGATCCGAAGATTCAATCAGGTGTGACCCGAATTCGACCAAATAGGGTCCGATCTCGAATTAGATCGGATCATGATCCAATCCATTTGCACCCCTAGTCCCATTCGTTTTTTTAGGAAGCCACTTACCCATATTCTTTTGGAAAAATCTATGATGCATAAAAGACATGGTATAGAAAGAGTTTTGAGCAATCAAAACCCACCCATGAATTTTGATAAATAACACGTGATTGACTACCAAGTTTATGATTTCAGTTGATTGGTAGACGTTTTTTGGCTATCATATCTTTTCTATATAATAGTTAAACTTTATTCTTTTATTTCCCAAGTAAATAAGATAATGGTGTTTGTGCCATAAAAGATTATTATTAAAAAATAATTTTTTTTTTCCATCCAAATGTTTGACAACTTTCTTCCATGCAAAATTTATTCATCCACTTATAAGATATGTATCACTTAGCTGAATAAAATAATACTCACAAAAATTGATATTTTCATAAATCACACATAAACATGAAAAAAAAAACATAAATAAAAACCAAAAAAATATAAAATTTTCATAAATCCCAGATGTCCTAAATATGAGCTCCCTATTGCTCCGTATTACCCGAACTTTGTTGATATCATAAATTTTCAAACTGTCACTAGCCTCCCAATGTTGATATCAAAAAGACAAAAAAATAAATAAAATATTGTTCTGATTTGTAAGTAATTAAGATGGTCAATTATTTTTGTTGCAGGTTACAACATTTAAATGCGGTGGATTTGCGTTGGGTTTATGTACAAACCACGTAACATTCGACGGTATTAGCGTCAAATTGTTCTTGGAAAATCTGGCCTCTCTTACTGATAACAAGCCACTTGTGCTGACGCCCTGCAATGATCGTCAACTGCTAGCAGCTAGATCCCCACCACGCGTCACATGTTCTCACCCAGAACTAGTGAAGCTTGAAATCCCCCAAGGCAATGTTGATGAGTTTGATCAGTCCCATACTCCAGTATTTGCACCTGCACCGGAGGATCTCGACTTCAAGATTTTCCGGTTAACCGAGTCTGACATTTACAACTTAAAACAAAAGGCAGCAAAGCTTGGAGTTGGGGAAAGCCGTATCAGTAGTAGCTTCAATGTCGTCACGGCTCATGTGTGGCGGTGTAAAGCTCTGGCAGCAGCTGCTGACATAACACAGAATGATATTTCAGAGAAGATGTCAACAGTCCTGTATGCAGTTGATGTTCGATCAAAGCTAACTCCACCTCTTCCTCCATCATACACCGGCAATGCCGTGCTTACGGCTTATGCGATGGCCTCCTGTCATGAGCTTGAGAATGCTCCCTTCTCCAGCTTGGTGGAGAAGGTCTTCGAGGGTGCCACCAGAATGACAGATGAGTACATCAGGTCTGCCATTGATTGGGGCGAGTTGTATCAAGGGTACCCACTCTGCGACCTCCTGATATCTTCATGGTGGAAGTTAGGATTTTCGGAAGTGAAATATCCTTGGGGAAGGCCTAAATATTGCTGCCCTATAATCCATCACAAGAAAGATGTTATTCTATTCTTCCCTGACATTGAGCGAGGCCAAAATGCGTTGAATATATTTGTGGCTCTACCGCACAAAGAAATGGACAAATTCCAAGCCCTCTTCAATAAGTTTCTAGCCTAGCCTAGAATCTAGTGTGTATTTCAATTGATCCCTTGAAAGCTGAAACTGTTCGTGGTTGGCAACAACAGTATGTCAGTCAATTGATTACCGATTTAATAAAACATATAGAAGGTGTTTTAAATGTAACTAAGTCAAATTGCATCGGTTTGTGTATTCTAGTGTGTATTAATTCATGCATCCATTAATTGGGCATGAGCGAATCGTGGAATCGGGTGGTTAATTGTTCGAATGGTTTTGATCTTCTTTTTATTTTTTTGTCAGCATTCGGATCAAACGATCGAACCATATTCGATACCATGATATGTTCATGTTGTTATCCGTGATACCAATGTGTGAGAAGGAAACTTCTATCCCTTTCCAATCAAATACATCATATATGAGTTATCCGTGATATGTTCATGTTGTTTGCGTCCAAGCACCTGATTGACACTCCTTTAATCCCACTATTCTATCAGCCTTATCACTCTAGATTTTGATGACCATTCGACAAAGGCATTACTTTTCAACTCTAACGACATGCATCCTCCCAATGAGCCACAATTCTCATTGGTGTCGCCGGGTCTAGAAGAACTGTAAATCGTACTTTAGTCATGACTGATGTGACCACGCATGGACCGGGTCGGATGTAGTAGGCATGTTAGTAAATACAATGATTGAATACGTAATAACTGTCCTATTTAATGAGTTTTTCATTCAAACGTTTTTATTTCATTTGATATAAATTATCTATTATTTTATTATATTTATCAAAATAATTAAAAATAAAAACAATGAAAAAGGAAAAGGGAAACCTAAACATATTGGGAGTTGGGACTCATTTACGTTTTCTTTTTTCATTGTCTTTTATTTTTAATTATTTTGACAAAGATAATAAAATAATAAATAATTTATATCTAATAAAATAAAAATGTTTGGATGAAAGACGCATTAACTAGGACATGTGTCACACAGCTATTATATGCTCATTCATTGTGCTTATCTAACATGCCTACTACATCCGAACCCGCATAAACAGGGGTTTTGATGAGAACAAACTAAACACAACCACATGGCTTAACTGAGCGCTAACATGTACACGAAGCATAGAGCCCAGCCAGTACCAAACTTGTGGTAGTTGGTCCATATGCATAGGGCTAGGGCCATAGCAGAGGGAGAGAAGGAGCTTCCACCTAGTTTTAGCATAAAATTAAAAATTAAGAAAACAAAGAATTTTTTATGTCTAAAAAAAATTCCTTAATGTTGTGTTTGGTTTCAATAAAAAAATAGGAGAAATAAGGGAGAGATAAAGAATCCTTTACAAACTTTGTATACGTTTCCCTATCTTTCCCCTTCATTTCCTTATTTTTCCTTCAAACCAAACAGGCCCAGGGTCAAAACCACCCCTCATGCCTTAAGATAGCCCCACATGCATATGAACTACAAATTTATGGGCTAAAAGTGGAGGTGCCTCATTTAGGCTCTTTCCCACTGGAGAGATCTAAGCGATTAATGGAGCAACTTATTCTTCATCAGTCCTCTAAAAAAGACTAAGACTGCACAATTGAATATCAGTGTAAAACCTCACCTTCAACTTCAAACACCTCTTACCTCGATAATCGATGTATATACATCAATTTTTTTTATGTAAAGCTCGACCGAAAGGCTTCTCGATGTAAAACAGTAAAAGCAACGACTCTTTCTCCTGAAACCTTCCCTTTCTGCTTCTTCACCGTCTCCGGTGCCTCTGTGTTGCCTTGGTTCTAACCGCCTTTTCACCAGCCGTTGATTCTCCCTCCGTCATTGCAATCTTCACTGCCGCCGGGACAGTAAAAACCTGAAGCCCCCTGTTTTCAAGCCTCCCGCATCTTCACCCCAATCCTCTGTTTCCTTGTCGTCTTCCTCCATTACTGTTCTCGTTACCTGCTCTGAATCCAACCATTTCGGATCCATGGCCACCAATTTGTACGACTGAAGTCCTTTCCCTTCTAGCATCATTGAAAAACCTTAAGTCCTTTCCACTTCCAGATCCTTCTATCATTGAAAAATCCAACTTCTGCATTGCCTTGCTTCTAACCGCTGTTTCACCTGTACGACAAAAGTCCTTTCCACTTCCAAATCCTTCCATCATTGAAAAATCCAACCTCTGTGTTGCCTTGGTTCTAACCGCCTTTTCACCACCCATTCATTCTCCCTCCATCGTTGCAACCTTCGCCGCCGCCAAGACAGTAAAAACCTGAAGCCCCCTTTTTTCAAGCCTCCCGCATCTTCGCCCCAATCCTCTGTTTCCTTGTCGTCTTCCTCTATTACTATTCTCGTTTCCTGCTCTGAATCCAACCATTTTGGATCCATGGCCACCAATTTGTACGAGTGAAGTCCTTTCCCTTCTAGCATCTCCGAACCATCTACCGTTGTTCTTACCATAAACACCTCTCCCTGGATCTCCACCGACACCGCTTTCGGAACCTCCTCCGGAGCTCGAGCCCAGATTGTTAGCCAGACCGCTTCCAAATCCTTCCATCATTAAAAATCCAACCGTCTGTCGAGAACCAGGAGATGCCAATATTTGGGTGTCGTCCATCATCCGATGGTGGAGGAGAGAGGATTTACTAAAGAAGGGCTCTACCATCCTCAGGACTTTGGATCTACTCTTCTGATTGTTTGTCATTCTTGCTTTTTTGATAATTTCTCCGGTGGTTGCTCTGACTCTCAACACCAATTCGCGGTGGATCGTTGATGAAGATGGGCAACGAGTGAAGCTGGCGTGCATGAATTGGACAGTGCACCTCGAAGCCATGGTGGCGTAGGGTCTAAGAGCCTTTAGACGTGATATCCAACGACTGTTAGCTTCAGTAATTGGAGAATTATTTGATTGTCTCATAATTTACATTTGTCTTCCAAACAAACATAAGTGTAAAACTTTTACAAGACTGGTTCATCTTTTGCACTTACCTGGTGGGCCGTTTTTCAAATACATGGGTGGAATTTTGTATTTACACCGCATTCAAATTAAGCCTAAGCTACATGCATCAATGTAATTTTACATGTTGTAATTTAAGGCTTAGTTTGGAAGGACAAATATGTATGTAAAGTGCAAAACCATATATTTTATATGTATTTTTATAGTACATGTGTTTGTATTTGTACTCCTTCCAAACTGAGCCTAAACAACAAAGCTACGAGTCAACCCCCTTTTTTGGGTTCATGCTCCCATATCCTTCAACAGGGTCATACTTACCTATGATTGCTTAATTTCCCACTGTTGAGACCCAACTTTGCGAACTTGAACCTCTTATAAACTAAGCCTTGAACTGAATCATATCATGAAGAAAATTGAAAAGCTCCACAAGTGATAACCTTCCACATAGAAAATCTTTTAGGTTTTACACAATTGGAATATCATGGGAGACTTCTTGGAGAGATTTATTGTGTGTTAAAAGCTTTGGCAAGGCCCTTACATATAAAGGTGAAGGCGAATATAAATACATATAAAATATAAGTTTTTGCACTCTACATATTTGTATTTATACTATTTCCAAACTGAGCGATCAGGGATGAATTCCAATTTCACTCCTATCTTCGGCTCCAAAATTCAATTTTTGGAGGGCAATCACTCTTGGAATGAACTTAAACAGGTTCTCGACCTAAAATCTAGGAAAATGAGAAGCATAGTTTAAGGCAATAGTTACAGGGTCAATAATTGTGTGATTGACCCTATGCACTATGCATTTTGGTAAATTATTGGCATTTGGGTAAGTATATGTTCCTTTAATTTTTCAAGTCCTTGCTCACAATCGAAGCTTTTGTGGTCTAGTTGCATGCATGCATGCATGGTTTATATTATAAGGTTTTGATGTGAAAATAAATAAATAAAAAAAAATCCTATTCATCTTTCTACCCAAAACTGGAGAAAGGATGGGGATAAAATGGAGTATATCTACTACAACTGTCCCTCTTTGGCAAAGGTTGTGAAGCGGTTGAATGCTATAGTTAATTAATAGATATCCATTTTGGTCCCCCTTTTCAGTCCCTATTCTAAACACCCCATTTTTGCACAATTTTGTTTACTCCAAGTGTTCTTTAGCCGATTGTGATCTTCTAGCGACTTCTTCAACAAATGGTATTTTGGCATTTTTGAGCTAAAAAGTAAAAATTAATTATATCAGAATAATAGGTGTAGTTGGAATTTGAGCATTTTAGTAACTTTTGTGCCCAAATTCAAGCCAAATTGACCATCCAATAGAATTGGGTTGGCTGGACCAATCACAAACACTTACTTGGACTATTTTTATCTCAAATCTTTAAATAATTTTATATAGTAAATTATATGTCTCCAGAAAGATCTTTGAGTCTACTTTCCAATGCAACAAAAGGAGCTCAATTTGGAGTTGGTATGACCACCTCGTCCGGCGCGTCGAGGAGGTGTGTCCCCAAGCAGGAGGCCGCCCTTAGGGTGGCCGCCCCGTAGGAGCGTCGAGCCATCAGGGGCAGCGCGAGTCCACGGACCCTCTAGCCCTCGGCTCCGCCAACGTGTGAGACAGCCCCCTCGGAATGCAAGACCTCCCTGCCAAAGGGGAGAAGAGTCAAAACAGTCCGACGACTATCGCCAGAACTCCAAGCAGCACCACTGCCACCAAAGAAGAGAGAGTTCCCGGGACGAAGGCCGGTGACCCGACCACCACAACCCCCATTCCAAGGCTGAGGGTCAACATTGTGCCTCTCCCTCTCAAGTCTCCGACCTCCACGATCTCCTGAATGACTGTCGTGCCAGAAGGAATGGCCACGGCCCCGCATCCAAGTACTCAAGGGTTTGGGCCGACCCCCACCGAGTCCGTGAGGATCGGGATGAGGCATAGGTCTCCCTCGAGCCTCAAATCACGGTTATGCAAGCCCAGATCGGGGCTGTCAAGGACGAGCTTTGCCAAGTTAGAGAGAGTCGAGCCGACGTCTCGGCCGGCTAGAGCCATCCGACAAGAAGGATGGATGCATTCACCTCGAACATCATCTCCGAGCCCCTTTTCCCGCACTTTAAAGCTCCCGTGCTAGAGATGCACGACAGGACAACAAACCCCAACGATCACTTGGAAAGTTTCAAGGCACCCATGCTCCTTTATGGGTACTTCGACGTGCTGACGTGCCGGACTTTCCAAGCGACCTTCAAGGGGAAAGTTCAGCGATGGTTCTCCGGCCTCCCACCTTGCTCAATCAATTTGTGGGAGCAGTTTTCCAACCCATTCTTCGCCCACTTC